AATATAAGATATATTGTACACATATTTTGTATACGATTAAAGAGATTTGATCAGGGATAACGGAGTACGAAATGGAAGAAGAAACATGTAATGTAGATCGAAAGCGAAAGTCGCTTTTGTCGTAATATTATATTTTTTTATTTAAATAAAAGAATAAAGTTTCGTTTGAGTTGGAATTGTCAAAGGAGGATTTAAAACTTGCAAGAAGTCTTCTTGAAACTGCTCAAAATGATATCTGCTCTAATCAAGATGGTAAAATGTACTTGAAAGAAATGACATCTCAATTACTCGTTAAAGATGAAAAAATCAAGAAGCTGAAAGAATTTCTCAATGATGTGAAAGAAGAATATATTACAATTACATCTGATTTAAGAAGAAAGAAACTTCGCATTGATGAACAACCAAAAACTATAGTAGAACATGAAGAAAAAAGGTTCTAGAAGCTCCACTAATGTTATTTTTTCCGTTAAACATACATTAACGTCTTCCAAATGTAATTCTAAATCTTCAATTTTTTCTTCATGTTCTACTATGGTTTTCGCTTGCTCATCAATGCGAAGTTCCTTTTTTCTTAAATCAGATGTAATTGTATTAAGAGTACCAAAATGAAGATAAGATGGAAAATAAAAATTATTAAATAATTTTTTTTCCATCTTATCTTCATTTTGGTGCTCTAATTTTTCTTCTAGAAGCTCCACTCTAATGTTATTTTTTTCGTTAAACAAACATTAACGTCTTCCACAAATGTAATAATTTTATTTAAATAAAAAAATATAATATTACGACAAAAGCGACATTCGCTTTCGATCTACATTACATGTTTCTTCTTCCGTTTCGTACTCCGTTATCCCTGATCAAATCTCCCTAATCGTATACAAAATATGTACAATATATCTTATATATTTTTTTATAATCAATATGTACAATATATCTTATATATTTATTTAGATAAAAAATATAATATTACGACAAAAGCGACTTTCGCTTTCGATCTACATTACATGTTTCTTCTTCCGTTTAATATTCAATGATCAAATATAGTCATATATAATATATGCTTGATTACATGTTTATTAAAAATTGCTCTCTTAAATTTCCTGTTTTTTAATATCACAATATCGTACATTTAATATTACATTTTATGTTAGAAAAAACTTAATCATATTGAAAGATTGCATGCTATTAAAACGACTTATATGTATACATACATGTTCTCTGTATTTGTATCAAAAAACGACTTCATGAATATTATATTTTCAATAAAATCTTATCGGTGCATTTTATGATTGCTGTGTTACAACTTCAAGCGTCTACTAGAACTCTGACATACACTTCACTGCAATACGTTGCATACCTTTACAATTTACAAAAATTAAATGATTAAATAAGCATCTTTGAATTTATCAACGATTATGCATGTATGTAATATCTATGCACACACATATATAACAATATCATTTTAAATGAAAGAAAATATAGCACACTGTGAAAAGAATTCTCCTTTTCATTATTTCTTTCTAAAAACGGACAAGGAATAAAGATAAAAGGTATATAGTTTTATGTCAACTGCACTTTTTGCGCACTGTGCAAACGAATAAGGTGCAAGGGAGGAAGGGGTACCATGCAGGCAAAATAAAACTAAAATCTAAAGTCGCTAGATAAACATATGTTCGTCGCTAGTGATTCAACGAAAAGTGAGTAGAGACAGAGAGGCGAGAGACGTTGACGTAGCGATCAGCTGTCATGGCAGTCACGATTCTGGCCGAGTAAGAGGGACCAAGTTTTGTTAAGAAATAATTCTTCGGTGCGCCGTACCAGAAGATGTTAGTCGACACGACGATTCTTTAACGCGCTCGATAGCTTGATCGTAAAAAATGTTTTGTACTTTTTGGAGTAAGCTTCGTGACCGGTCCCGCGGGTTTCTTTACTTAACAATAAATTGAGACCTGAATTATTTATGTGAAAGATCGAAACATAAAGGCAAGGAAATCTAATCTGTGCACCTACGTTACTCATTGATTTTCTATTAAGATTAGACTTGGAATTTTGTGTAGTTACAGGAAGTGTCACGTATATGCAAAACTTTATTATTGCACAAAATTTATATTTATGTTCTACAAAGATTTTGCGTGTGTGTTGAAAACTACTTGAATATACATGTGTTGAAAATACTATAATTTTAATTATACAATAATTATGTCGATAACTGTCTCGTATACCTTTTAGATAAATTTAATGATCCCATGGATGCGTGATCAAATAGCAGAGGCCTGGCATAACAGAAAGAGTTCAAGGGCAGCTGACAAGCGGTCCTTGGCCCTTTCTTCTGCCAGCACAGGCAATCCTGCAGGCAGTAACACCATGCTTACGCCGTTACCTACCTCACCCGAAAACTTTTCCATCAATGTCATCAGGTTTGAGTTCATGTTCGATATGGTTGTTGGAATTTTAGAAATGATCCTGTTGGACGTCAATTAACGCCAAATCATTTTATACAGCATAGAGGGAAATGTATTGGATGTCACAGTGAAACCAAACTTTACCGTGGAAAACATTAAGAAAATTGCAGTGGTACATTTCTATGGTCGAGACGCAACCAAACCAATATCACGCTATCGCCTGGTTCATTCATCCAAATTTAAACAGCTTGCAGATGAAAATTATATAGACGACGAGGATATCAATGAATGTGGTATAACTTGTTTACATTGAACTACCCAGATAATAATTCTTGCGTGCAAATTTTGCTTCTTTTACGCATGCAAACTTGTATGAGATTTGCCTGAGTTTTGCTCGTAAGATATGTTTAGTCTGTGCTTTTGCATGCAAGCGATTAGCTCGTGTATTAACGTATACTTTTACACGCAAAAGTCTAGCAACTCACATACAAAAATAGCTGAACAACGCAAGCAAAATCCTAATCCAGTACGTCGTCATAATGCTAGATGTTTGCACGCAAAATGTTTTCTGGGTACATATATATTTATAGGCTTGATAATATAACTTGTTACTGGATTTTCAATTTGTATTACGTGACTATTATTTGCATATGCCTTTCTAACACGAGGAATAATTTATTATTACAGATGAATTGTTATTAGTAGAAACACGATCATCCACCGTACAAGAGAATCTTTCGGATGAAGCTCTTAAAGGTCCAAGTCTAGAAGCAATAGCTCGAGCTACAAGTAATCTACCCAGTCTACGAGATGCACCCAAGTCTGTGCCATCTACAGAATGCCCTGCGGATGTAAATACATATTTCACACATTTAAAAATGACATACTTTTATTTATTACAGTATTTCACCTTTACGATTACTTGCAGTTCCAGAATGAAATTCGTAAGATTTTAATAACTCTCGTGCAAGCGTCTGCAAAGATCTTAATGTATAGTCCCGATGCTGAAAAATTATATGACGTCATTAAAGAGAAACTCGAAGCTAGGTGCAAGCCCATTAATGATCCGAAAGTCGTAAAAACTCTTATAGAAATGGGTTATCCTCACAAGAAAGTTCTCAAGGCGTTACGTCTTCGAAAGTAGATATCAAGTTTTTATTGTATATTTAATATGCACATGTTTTGGTAATTCGCGTGTAATACTGTGAAAATATGTCTTTATTTTAGGTCGAACATGACAGAAGCTTTAGAATGGCTTATAGAACATCAGGATGATTCAGATGACGAAGAAGAAGAAGATTTCTTGTCCGTAGATACAACGACAGACACAAACATTGCAAGTCCTAGTTCCTCAATGGGCGTTAAGAAAAAATTGTCAAAAGATGCGTGCCTGGAACTGTTCGAAATAGGTAATCCTCGCACAAGACTGAAATGTACATTATTGTTTGGATGACAATTGGAATTGAAAACTGTACAATATGTGAGAAAAGCATTACATATAAAAATATGTTAATTCTAGGAAAACAGGTTCAAGAAGAAAAAAATCTGGTTCATATCGTAGAATTATTATTGCAAAGTTTTCGACAATATAAGAAAATGGAATTTAAACCTAATAAGAGAGCAATGCGGTCGCTTGTAGAAATGGGCTTTGATGAGAAGAACGTAATAGGAGCGCTGAAAATTACTGGAAACGATCAGGCTAATGCAGTAAGTTACAATTATTACAGATTGTGCATACGCACACACGCATACATATACAAAATATATTGTATAAAATGCAAAGGAGTAATTGGGCTATGAGAGTATAATGTGGTAGTTGGTGCGTGAGTCAAACATGGAATACCAGATATACCGTTCCTACGAAAGTACATACTTCTCTACCTTGGAGGTCCTGTATATTAAAATGATATTTTCATATTATTTTACGTCTCCTTTTCGATAGTGTGAGTGGTTGCTAGGCGAGAGAAGACGTAGTCTACAGGACTTGGACGAGGGTCTCGAATCCGATGGTCTAATTTATAAAGCAATTATGAGCAATCCTCATGTTCAGCTTAGTCTCACGAAACCCAAGATGTTACTCGGTAAGACAAAGCTATAAGAAATTGTGTGATAAACTGAAATCATATGTTACTTAAAACTTTTTCCTATTCTTTTTTCCAGCATATTTATCAATGATAGAAACACCCGCCTCAGCAAATGTATGGATTAACGACCCTGAAATTTCACCTGTGCTTAGCCAAATATCCAAGACATATCACACGGAAAAACATGCCATCCATATGAATCGTTATACCTAGTACTACGGTGTAATTTATTTGAGTCTCTGTGAAACATTCATATTTTTATATAAATTTACAAATAATTTTCGCAGAGATTTGGAGTATCAATCACCAACTAATCATCAGTTACAATTATATTTATATATAATTATAATTATAATTAACACTAGTTAATTACAGTTATAATTATCGCTATTATAGTTAAAGAATTATTGTCATATTATTATTATATTTATGAGTCCTACAGGATATCCAACTTGCAATACGCTATAATATGCTATCAGTCACACGTATTTTGATTTCCATCTATATTGCTGATGCTTTCGACGTTGTACAAATTGCCCGTTGTTGACAGTTCTTAGAGAAAAAAAAATGTGCTTTAATATATATTAAAGAAAAAATATTTTAACGTGTAATATACATTCTTACAGTAAAATCAAATTTATATCACATCTGCTTTTCCATTCTCTAAGTCGAGAAACTAGTCAGACATGTGCTACAAAATTGTACATAAAATATGCTGAAATATTAAGTCACAAAATAAATTTATTATAATTAAGTAGTTAAAAATTTTTCTCTAACTGTCTTCGTTAAAATAAATGTATTTGACTTAATTTACGATTAGAAAAAGAAACGAAATTTCACACATCGTGTTCTGCGCGATTCTATAACGTACTCATTCAAACAATCGTTCATACTTTCGATCCCGTATTTTGCACTTAAAACTAACTATTTCTGGAGTAGAAACGTTCTAGTCATAATAGAAATTATTATAATTAAATAATTTATTATTTCCATGTATCTCATTCATGTTTACTAAAAATGTTGCCTGAAAATGTACGCAAGTTCTTCTAATTATTCAAGATTGATTACCGCGATTATGGAGATGTTTATCGACATTCAATATTATCGCTTATTCGATATTTCTCCAACCTCGTTATAAAAATATCGAATATAAAACACGAATAAATTATAGGATGAATACTTTTAAACAACTTAAATAAAAATGAATAATGGCGCTTATTAGTTAAGCACAAACCCCGCTATCTAATATTAGTAGCCTACCTCACAATAGAGATCTCTTTTTTATTGATACATTTTTCAGACTAATAAACTCGGTCTAGTAAAAGATTTTTTTAGACATACGTACTGCCTGAATATTTTTTCTAAGATGCAACTTACCAAGTCGCATTTTGAAGATACCGCCGCTACGTCAAAGTAGCCAGCGCTGCGGGCGGACAAGTACGGAATTGGTTGTGAGAAACTTTCGGTACACCAGCTTGTTAGTTCCGGCGCGGCGGAGAGAAACCTGTTCTCTGGTTCCGGTTAATTCTAAACGGACGTAGTTCGATCTACTTATATTCTAGTCTTCATAGCCCTTATATATAGGGCTCGCTGCGTGCGAGGAGCTCGTAGTCCATGCTTCAAATCGACGTTCTGAGATTGTGCGACAGCGCGATTGTCGGCGCTACGAAAGTATCTTTGACAGCTGATTCTGTTGCACGTGCTTTACTACGAGATATCCGTCAATAATGGTTTACTATTTTGCAAGTGAAGGTAATTTCTGCTTTTCCAAAATGTTATCTTTACTTTTTAATAGACGGACAATCGTGCATTCTCGCATGTTGTCAATGATATTTTGTTATCACTGAGAGACTGAACTAACGGTGACACAATCTTGAATTGCAGTTGTGCAACCACCCGTCACGTTGTTCATGGGGATTGACAAATATGAGAGTAAGCAGAAATCCTCTATCTGTAATTATTCTATAATTGCAAACTAACACGCGATTTACTGAATTCTACTTGTAGATGAGGATCTTATTAAATGGGGCTGGCCAGAAGACGTATGGTTTCACGTTGATAAATATTCGTCCGCCCACGTGTACCTCCGACTAGGACATGTCAGTCTGATTGTCAATTAAATTGGCTTGTTTTACATTAATGAAAATTGCACAAAATTAGTTGTCCTTTTGAAATTACAGGGCCAGACGATAGACGATATTCCTAGTACTGTGTTAGAGGATGCCGCACAGTTGGTAAAGGCAAACAGCATTGAAGGAAACAAAATGAACGACATTGACGTTGTATACACAATATGGTCGAATTTAAAAAAGACGCAAGGTATGGAGGTCGGTCAGGTTGGCTTTCACAAGGACAAGGACGTTCGTAAGATTCATGTTGCCAAGCGAGTGAACACTATTGTGAATCGCCTTAACAAGACGAAACGTTCGGTGCAAGTCAACTTTCGTGCCGAGAGGGAACAAAGAGATAGGAATGAACGAGAGGACAAGAAGAAGCTCTTGAGGGAACAGAAAGAGAAAGAAAAGGCGGAGGAAAAGCGACGTCAGGAAGAAGCGGAGACGAGGCAAGCCATAATTTTATGACACTAACTATAATGTTATGAGATAAACAATGTCAGGCGGGGAACATAAATTCTATTATTTCAATTAAATTGTTACTTTGTAGGAGTTACAATTCCCTGTTCAATGCATCTAACATGACTTCCAACACGGAAACCAGCGGATATGACTCGGACGATTTTATGTGATAAAGCTATACTTGTTTCTTTTGCCTTCTATCTTCAGATAAGATGTTCGCGGAGAACAAAATTCCAGAATGAAAGATGTAACGTGTCTCGTGTACAATTATTTATTTGATTTATAACGACATTCTTTTGCAAATGTTGTATTTGCAAAATTGTAGACATTTCTACGAATCAATGTACATTACACCCATCTGTATAATAGAAGACTGCTTCGTCATTTATAAATTTCTAAAGAAGTGCTGTGTAACTACGGTTCTCAGTAAACACCGAGTATCAGCTCTACATTGCATTTATGTTACAATTTACACAAGTGTTATATTACATTTACATTGTTGTATGAGAAATTGTAACATAAATGCAATTTCTGTAGCTGATGCTCGGTACTTACTAAGTCATCATGCCAATGGCAAACAAGATTGTCGAGTTATCGCGTACTTATTTACAAGAACTAGCAAGTACTTAGATATGTCACTATAATCTAAAACAAGAAAACTGATAGCGAATTTGGTTGCTCGCACTATAGTGCACACTGAGTGCATACTAAGGCTTGTTTACAATCAAATTTATTGTATCTAAGGTCATCTTAAATACATGTTTATTTAAAAAACCATCTAGCCAAAAACGTGACGTACGAATGCTACATATATTTTACTAAGGGTGCGTTCCGTTTCACGCATAATCTGCATGATACATCGTTTATCCTTCTTTAACATTTGGTGAAAATGAAATTCTATAAAAAATGTAAATGGGCTAGAGAAGGCTGCGGCAGTAAGCTCGGTACAAATTCTAGTTTTATACTAGGGTAACATTGACAGCCTCTAAAGCATTGATTATCCACGTTGGATAATCTCTATTGGGATAAATTGTCGACATATAGTCCTGTATGAATCTGGGGAACCTCTGCTCTTTTATGCTGTCTCTGATGTCTCGCATGAGCCTCATTTGGAACGCGATATTGTGAACGGTTAACAGATGACACGATACCGTCTCCACAGTGGCGATTTGATGCAGATAAGCTCGTGTGTAAGTCTTGCAGGTACTACACTCGCACGACTCGTCTATCGGCCTCGAGTCCTTCTTGTATTGCGCCTGCCTCAGACTGAGCTGTCCGGTTTTCACCAGCGCGCAACCAAACCTCTGAAAGTTTTAGTTTAACGTTTTGGAATTTTCTTCACTCCACGCATTGAAGTAAAAGTATTTTATCAAGTGCTTACGGCGGTCCTCGTCGGGAACACGCAATCGTACATATCGATGCCTAACGCACTGCATATAATTAAATCCTCTGCAAATCCAACACCCATGAGGTACCGCGGTTTATTCTTCGGAAGGATACTCGTTGACAGATGGACCATTCTCCAAAAATCATCCTTGCTTTCACCACCACTGCAATCGTTATAAAAATTGCTATATATATATACATGTATCTATATACAGGGTGCAATCTAATTCGCGCTCACTATACAGTAATATTCCTCATGAAAACCTGAGTCAAAAAGTCCCGAGTAATTTTTTCGAGTCATGCTTCATAAAGTAGTTATTATTAAATAAAGATTAGTCAAGCAGTATCATTCTTTCATCAGAACATCGCTAAGGCGCGCGACTCGCTTCATGCATACTTACAATTAGTGGATCATGTGCAGCTCACGAACATGCGTCCGTTAAAAAGCGATGCGTTTTAGCGATGATTGACTAATTTTTAATTAATAACTACTTTATAAAGCATAATTTGAAAAATGGCTCGGACTTTTTGACTCGGTTTTCATGAGGAATATCACTGTATAAATAGTGGGTGCAAATTAGATCACACTCTGTATATATTGTTATATTATGTAATATTTTTTTAATTATGTATTGTACAAACGTCGTTATTTGTCAGCTGTCGGCGAATAATGTGGTATCTCACCTCAAACCTCCTACAGCATACCCGTTCACCTCTCGCCTTATCAACTGGCGTGCGCATTCAGATCGTAATTCGGGATCGAGACCACCCTGCACGATTGGGAATATACTTTGCTCCTCTGGTCTTTCATGTGCTGATAAGCAACGGTCCAGCCAACGTATCGTTCTAAAGTGATTTGTTACATTAAATAATGCTTGTTCAAACTTGCACTGCTTAGATGCCATATGGTGCTTTCCATTTAGCGACACAAGTTGACACAAGCGTCAGTCTGTCTTCTTTTTCAATGTCCAGTGAACAAAAATGATATTTGTGCCAACTTGTGTCGGTAAATGGAAAGCACCAATACTTCAGAGAAATAATTATACCTATGCATTGCTTCCTCTACTCTTGGCCCGGTTGAGGTAGTTTTAACGACGTCGTCGAGCTGCATAATTATGTCAGCTCCAATGGCATTTTGAATTTGAATGGAATGTTCGGGCGTCAACATACACTCAGATTCTGTACGAAACGTTATTGTAAATATTACAAGTCAAGTTAACTGTACGTAAATTATATTTGAATGTATTAAAAAATATGTCCGTCTATATGTAGTACCATTATATGGTGATTTAAACTTGACACCTTCCTCCGTTATCTCAGCCAGCTGTAACAACGAAACCATTTGGAAACCACCCGAGTCCGTTAACAGAGCCCTTTTCCAATTCATGAATTTGTGCAAACCTCCGGCTTTACGCAAAATATCTGCACCCTGCCAATGTACAGAGTACATTTTAACGCGTTTGAAATTTGCGTAATTTTACCAACATAAATCTAAAACGAGACCCTTCTATTTGTTAGCTGCGTAACTTAATTCGGTACCTTCGTAATTGCTTGAAAATTTTGTAAAAAGGACACCGAATTAATTTATACGCCTAAGAAATCAATCGACATTCCTTCCAGTAATAATAATGTGTAATCTCTTACAGGTCTGTTTCCAAGATGATAGGTATTGCCAAGAATTATCTGGCAATCTAACTGCTCCAGTTGCTGCGGCAGCAATCCTTTCAGTGTTCCCTGAAAGTTGTGTTATACAACTTCAAAAAAAAATATCTTAGTGGAAATATTTTGTTGAAAATATCCCAGTAAAAACCAAGTAACAGTTACACAACATCAATATTATAATCCCCTACTCAACACTGTACATGTAATATAACAATGCGTATTATATGCGTATTGTACATTACATTTACATGTGAAAGTTACAGTTACTTTTTGGTAATTCTAACTTAACTTCGTTACTTTCTCTCCATATATAACTGTAACTTTTTTATCGAGTTCAATTTTTCACTGACGTCCATAGATGTTTTTATAATACATTGTGTACTTCTATACAGATCTTTATAATTCTACAAATTTATATGAAAAAAAAATTTTTAAGGAGATAATTTTATATCTAATTATGTTCAACTAAATACTAACTGTACACGTAATTAGATATAATTATAAACGAGCAACTTTTTTCATATGAATTTATAGAACTATAAAGACCTGTGTAGAAATACACAACGTAAAAACATGTATGGACACATTTGATACGTAATCTTATAGAATTCTATATATTATTTATACATGCTTATGCATGGAACATTTGTTTATCGGGAGGTGTCTTCAACATATCAGTAGCTTTGCCGCTTGTGCAAGGCGAGAAGTTTCATGAACCTGCGTTCCCACCGGCATGAACACCGGCGTATCCACGTGATGGTGAACAAGCGTCATCTTGCCGGCTCTGGCCTTTGTGGTCTCGCACTCGGCGAGAACCTCGAAGACCAACGGGGCTTTCCGAGTAGTCATTTCCACCGGCGATCTGCCGGGACCCGTGTTCACCATCGTAGAGTATGGCTTGCGTAAAACTCTCAATGTGTACGCACAGGGAGAAAAGCTAACAAACATTCCCGCATGATTTTTTCGTCTCTCGCTTCAGGGTTGCCTTCAGCTCGGAGTTTAGACGGCACATGTACACAATCCAGCCTTTCTACTTGATCATGTAAAAAAAAAAGGGAGACTATTGGATTATTTTTTTCAGTCTCTGCGATCAAATCGTACACCGCTTCGAGCGTTACCGCGTGTTCTTTGTTGCTCCCGGCTTGGCGCTACCGCGTCTTCGACTCCGTCATTCGACGCATTGAACACACCCCGGAATACTTTACTGTCTGTTACTATTCTGTTTCCAATAAACTCGTGGGTAACGTTAAAATCTCTTCCAATAGCCTTTATTCTCGCGTGCTCGTAGGCGAGAGGTTATGTCAGCCTCGCCACGTGCTTCTCGTCAGGGACGCGCGCACTCCGGTGCACTTGGCGGTGTAACTAGTGCACTCCGTGTTTGTTTTGTTTTGCGTCGACCCCTTCCTGCGCGCTCGACATTGTTCTGGGCAGA